TGATCAATTTGACCGACCTCGTAACTATCAAAAAAAACAAAAAAAAAACGAAATATACCTAAATTACATTTTTTTCTTTCTAGAATGACTTCAAATTGTAACATGAAACTACATTCGTTTATCCTATGCAGCTCAAAGTTCGTAACAGTATACATCTATTTATAATTAAATTTCATTGTTTTACTGCCCTTTGAACTGTGTCTAACACTAACCATATCATTATAAGTTTTAAGTCACTCGGGGAACATGCACCTCACATTACGTTAATGTATTACGTTACATTACCCAGGAGCTGCTCACATATGTGCCTCATGAACCATTTAAATTATAGTATTATTACTTATTTTACATAATCTAGTCTTTAAAAGATCTGTATTTTTAGATTTTAGTTACTTTTAAAATAACAAATAAAGAATAAATATGAAAAACAAGAAATAAAGTACTTATCCAATCTTCTTTTTTCTTGCCCTTTGTTGTTGAGGACAGTTAAGCCTGATTTTTTTTTATAGTAATGAACTTAATCATTTTTATTTAATTAAGTAATGCACTAAAGAATATAGAGTAATAATATGCAATAAATAGACAAATTCCCCTAACCCTCAAAATTTTTCTGGCTCTCTAACTGTGCGACAAGAGCAATTACAAATTCATCCAAGCTAGTCAGTCATTAATTTTCCCACGGGAAAGAATCTTGTACTGTGAGTGAAATTAACGATATTCTGTTCAGAATACAACATTACACAATACATCATTTGACAGATGAAAACCTTGACTTTTTATTGGTTATAGGTAATATATAATGAAATGTAAGTGAGAACTATCAACAAATTGTGAAAGAGGGTGTGGCAGGAGGGGTCTGATTTTCTATACGATAGCTCTGTAACCAAACAAAATTGAAGGCTATAAAAATTATAATTTGTTTGAGCAACAAAGATTTTAGAGAGGTGTTGGATAAAACAGGGATGATGACATGCTAAAAAAAATGTGTCATGTGGGTCACACTAGTGTAAATGCAGGATTTTTTTTATATTTCCTTGTAGAATTAAGAACTTAAAAATTGTATACTATTAAAATATGGATTATTACCTAAGATTTTATGCTATTCTAATTGGTATAACATGAACAAAAAGTCGTTCAATAAAATTTTGAATGTAAGACACTAAAACCTTGTATCATGCACAGTAAAGGATAACAGGGTTCAATGGTTAATACTTATAATAAAAATCACAAACTGTAGATTTTTTTGTTTCATTTCACATTCCTTTTAATTTTTATCTTTTAGCTTATTTTATTATTCTAATATTTCTTGTATGTATAGAAATATTACTTACTTCTTTATGTAAACCCAGGTTCTCTAAACATCTGTG